CTTTTGTTACACGCTCCAGTTACAGTTTCATATAATAATAAATGAAAGTCCAAGGGGAACAGAGGCAAAAATACAAAAATACTGAGAACCAAACAAAAACTACTTTAGTAGTTTTTGCGCATTCGGCGTCTGCTCTGCCAATAATGCAAGCGTAGAAGAAGAAATGTGCTGTTTACCTGTGCAAAGAAAGAAACAACGAAAGAAAAATGTCTGAGGACTTCAGTGTTGAGGAAGAGCATCAGTTCTTTGCCGAGCTGAATGCGCACTTTCATCTGGTTTGGTCTGCCGCGGTTTCCGTAGCGTCATGAACTCGCAGGTGCGCGCTTTTAGGAAATCCTATACACTACTGTTTATGCTCTAAAAACATTCTAAATGACTTTGTTTCGAGTAAATTATGGACGCTACCCACTCAGGACACTTGGAATACATTGGACGAGCAGTATGGAGGAATATTGACACGTTTTTTGTGGACTTTTATGGACCTTTCTGTCTCGGGCGCCATAGACCTCCATTATTTGAATGTCAGCAGACAGCAAGAAGCCTCCCAGATCTCCAGATGCATTTGAGATATCAAAAAAATACTCCAGAGTGTTGTTCAGCATGGGGGTGAGTAGAAAATGAAGGCTAATCATGTTTTGGGTGTACTATTCCTTTAAGCCCGTACCGATTAGAAACATTATCTTCACCTGTGTTTTTTTTTTAAAACAATACAGGTTCTTTGCTTGCAACAAAAAGGAAACTAAATTTCCTGCATGTATTTTTAGGGCATAAAACAAGCTGCATTCCTCAGAAACAACAGTGTTTATTGTATCAACTATTAGACAAGAGTCAAGCTAAGAAAGATTAGTTAAAGGTTCCAGAGTTTGCAGAACCACCTTGAGGAACATCTGTCATAGATTTGCTGATGTGTTTGGGATCACCAGCTGTTGATGACCTAGTTTACTCCAAGCTTTAGCTGTCAGACAGATGGTCTCATATTTTACTGGAGAATCCTCTGGTAAACAGAGATCAGTTCAGGATTTTTCACTGACTGAAAGCGACTCAAACCCTGTGATCAAAAACCTCCGGTGTCATCCATTAACAGTTCAACCTTTTGTTTTTCACTTTTCTCTGTGTCTTGTCTTCTTCTTGGATGGGCTGCACCAAATCTTCTTTTCCCTTTAGGGATTAATAGTACAAGTGAATTGAATTGACATAACTGTCTTAAAATGTTTCTGTCTTAAAATTTCTGATTAAAGTCATAGGGAAGTCATATTTAAATGTTTCTTTATCAGAATAAATTGTCCCAAAAGTTAGGAAAATTATATATTTTTTAAAAATCCTGTCTTAAAATCTGTGTTTTTTCCTGTTATCTTCTGCAGGCCAGTCAGTTATATGTCAGCTTGTACACCTAACTTCGGCCAATCATATATCAGCGGTCATCTGTCAATCTAATTTTTCGGTCATAGCATCTTGATTCATGTGTCGCAGCTAATATACACAACGGTTGAAATCAGAATCCTTTCCTTTCCCATTGAGTTGCGTCCCAGTGTTCACGGGGATGGACGTCTGTGTCTTCGGCAGGCGTAGAGGCAAGGGCTCAAACATGTACGGCTGGAAGCCTTCTACACCAAACCAAGCTTCTGCCGCCCTGGCGTCCTCTTCCACAACATCTTCATCCCCGCTTTCCTCCTCTAAATAAAAAATGGATGACGGAGGAGACTCATCCACAACCTCCGACACTAAACTCTACTCCTCTTGCATGTTTCCTCTGTCCATAGCGTTCCTTGACAGCGTCGTTTCTAAGTCACCAATTTAGTGCTACTTGGTCCCAATGGAATTTCCCATTGGGAACCTACTAGCACTGAGTTGCTAACTGGTTAGTAAGATGCTTCCAAGAAACCGGCCACAACCAAAAAGCTTGTGAACCTTCCGCCACAACAATCCCGCCCCCTTGAAAATCGACCAATCACATTCACTTTATTCATTAGTGTAAAGTCGTGCCCCACTCAGGAGAACATAAAAGTACTCTTTCCTGGTAGATGCTAACAGCTGCCTCTAAGGTAATTTCTGATTACCTTTTATTGTGACACTGCTTTGACACACCTATTACCTAATCAGACATATCTGGTTGAACTGTAAAGTGCCTTGAGATGACGTGTTGTGAATTGCCGTTATATAAATAAACTAAATTTAATTGAATTGGTTCATTGATCAAAGATTTAAACTATTGAGGTGAAAGTTTCATTGGTTTTACCAGGATCTCTGTGGTCCAGTGTTCTGCTAGCAGAGCCCAAAACAACGATAAAGTATTAGAGCTGTACTAACACTTTGTTTTTGTTTAACTATGAGAATAAAGTCATTTTACTATTAAAGTTATAGCATTATTAAACAAAAGAGTGGTTTTAATTAGACAAAGGCATCAGGCAGGGAAGTGTTGGCCTAGTGGTTAGAGCAGTGCGCTTGTGCTCTGAGAAAGTACCCGGTTCGATCCCCACAGCCTGCACTCTGGCTCTCTGAGCAAGACACCCCACACTGCTCCCCGGGCACCGCACAATGGCAGCCCACTGCTTTCAAAGGGGATTGGTGAAATGCAGAGGTAAATTTCTCCAGTGTGAGATTAATAAAGTTCAATTACACTATATTGCCAAAAGTATTTGCTCACCCATCCAAATTATTGGAATCAGGTGTTCCAATCACTTCCATGGCCACAGGTGTATAAATTCAAGCACCTAGGCATGCAGACTGTTTTTACAAACATTTGTGAAAGAATGGGTCGCTCTCAGGAGCTCAGTGAATTCCAGCGTGGAACTGTGATAGGATGCCACCTGTGCAACAAATCCAGTCGTGAAATTTCCTCGCTCCTAAATATTCCACAGTCAACTGTCAGCTGTATTATAAGAAAATGGAAGTGTTTGGGAACGACAGCAACTCAGCCACGAAGTGGTAGGCCACGTAAACTGACGGAGCGGGGTCAGCGGATGCTGACGCGCATAGTGCGAAGAGGTCGCCAACTTTCTGCAGAGTCAATCACTACAGACCTCCAAACTTCATGTGGCCTTCAGATTAGCTCAAGAACAGTGCGCAGAGAGCTTCATGGAATGGGTTTCCATGGTCGAGCAGCTGCATCCAAGCCATACATCACCAAGTGCAATGCAAAGCGTCGGATGCGGTGGTGTAAAGCACGCCGCCACTGGACTCTAGAGCAGTGGAGACGCGTTCTCTGGAGTGACGAATCGCGCTTCTCCATCTGGCAATCTGATGGACGGGTCTGGGTTTGGCGGTTGCCAGGAGAACGGTACTTGTCTGACTGCATTGTGCCAAGTGTAAAGTTTGGTGGAGGGGGGATTATGGTGTGGGGTTGTTTTTCAGGAGCTGGGCTTGGCCCCTTAGTTCCAGTGAAAGGAACTCTGAATGCTTCAGCATACCAAGACATTTTGGACAATTCCATGCTCCCAACTTTGTGGGAACAGTTTGGAGCTGGCCCCTTCCTCTTCCAACATGACTGTGCACCAGTGCACAAAGCAAGGTCCATAAAGACATGGATGACAGAGTCTGGTGTGGATGAACTTGACTGGCCTGCACAGAGTCCTGACCTCAACCCGATAGAACACCTTTGGGATGAATTAGAGCGGAGACTGAGAGCCAGGCCTTCTCGTCCAACATCAGTGTGCGACCTCACAAATGCGCTTCTGGAAGAATGGTCAAAAATTCCCATAAACACACTCCTAAACCTTGTGGACAGCCTTCCCAGAAGAGTTGAAGCTGTTCTAGCTGCAAAGGGTGGACCGACGTCATATTGAACCCTATGGATTAGGAACGGGATGTCACTTAAGCTCATATGTGAGTCAAGGCAGGTGAGCAAATTCTTTTGGCAATATAGTGTATTATTTACGGTGTTACTGCATCCTGAGCAAAACATTTCAATTCAGGGGGAGGGCAGCACTTCCAGCTAGAATTTACATTTAAAAAAGGATACCTCTTAATTTTGTAATATGAAATCATTTTCCTTATATTAAAAGTTTGATTACGTAATGATGCATCTTTAATCCTGTATTGTTAGGACTTAATCTCATAATGTTACTACTTTATAAGGTCACATTTATGCTCTCATAGGCTTAATATTATTAATTTATCTTAGTAATTTAAAAAAAATCTCTCAATATGACCTAAAATCTGTAATACAAAACACAAAGAGTGAATTTGCTCCCAGTTACTTTGAGGGAAGGGCTAAACCTGTAGGTTACAGGTCTAGTGCCCCCTAGTAGCTGAGAGTTACACATGATAGGACTTCCTTGTATGGGACAGTTTCTGCAGTTATTTTAGAACTGCAAATAAAGATTATTTTTCATTTATTATGATTCTTTTTTGATTAATGGATTAATAAATCTGATAGCTAAAAGTTCCTTTAAGAAGACTTTTTACATATTAAACAAAGGGAAACTAAAATTTGTCCATTTGAAGAGTTCTGGATATATATATATATATATATATATATATATATATATATATATATATATATATATATATATACACACATACACACACGTATATATGTTATTGTATGTGTATGTTTGTTTTTTGTTTTTGTTTTTACAATTTTTGTATAATAACTGCTCTAAGTGGTCGTTCTGTCAGCTAAAGGCATGTTTTATAGTATCTACACTCCATTAAACGATTATTCCTTTACTAAATTAGTTGACGATTATTTCAATAATTGATTAATCTGATTGTTTAACCCCTAATTTATTGTATTATTTCCTTTGGGGGGCGGGGACATTTGATTAAAACATCAAAAATCAACAAATTACAAATCTAAAGATGCTTTTATAGTCTTTGAGGTCTCTTCAATCTCACAAAGCAGGAATTATGGATTTAATCCCGGTTGACGGGCCCGCGCTTCAATTAATATGTAGAACGGGGGAAATCAGTTTCATCAGTTAATAGAATGAGGTTATATAAATCTGGCCCATCAGTGGATTTTAAGGCTGATAATTAATAAACCAATATTTACCCAACAGGCCAGATTCTCCTACCTCCACATGAAGTACCTGTTCTTCTCCTGGCTGGCAGTGTTCGTGGGAAGCTGGATAGTCTACGTGGAGTACTCATCCTACACAGAGCTGTGTCGGGGTCACGACTGCAGAAAATCCATCGTGAGTACTTCCATCCCCCATACTTACCAATCCGTTTCATCACAACGATTGAGATTTCTTTTGTTTGTCAGTGCGACAAATACAGGAAAGGAGTAATCGACGGCTCAGCCTGCAGCAGTCTGTGTGAGAAGGAAACGCTTTATCTGGGGAAGTGCTTCACGGCCAGACCTCACAGCCAGGCAAGCTTTGAAAATGAAAGTCTTTCTTTCTCCCGTCTGCATGTTCTAAGTCAAACCGCTTCTGAGAGCCATGTGATTCTTTTCAGGTTTATTCGGGAAACTGGGGAGATTTACAGGGAGTTATTAAGTGCCAGATGGAGGAGGCCCCCCATTATGATCTTGGAGATGAGATGGAGCCAAGAAAGGAGGCTGCTCCTGCTGCTTTCAATAAGCCCACCAAGGGGACCTCGGTGGAAAAGTTCAGAGAGATGATAATCAGCCACCTGAAGGTCAGGAATGCTTTGTGAAATTCTGTATTTCAAGCCTTGTTTATGTTTATCTATGGAGGGAATTTTGTTCCATTATTGTTGCAAGCAAAAACGAAAGCAAGTTGTTCTTTTAAATGGAAGTTTGGAGAGAAAAAGAAAGAAAGCTAACTTTTAAATAAACTGTTTTTCATATTTTATTTTTCAAATTTTATTTTTATTTATTTTTTAATTTCTCTGTTTGAGACTGAATTCTATGATTGCATTTTTAAATACTGCGTTTCACAGATCACACTCTCTTCACTTTTAAGCCCAATAAAAACTAGAGTTGCACCGATACTGATACCAGTATCGGACAGGGCCCCGATCCAGCACAAAAATGGTGGTATCGGTATCGGCGAGGACCAACAAATAGGGCTGATACCATTTTGAGAGTCAAAGGTTTATTCAACTATTGTCACCCATTCCAGGTAGGCAATAAAAAGTTCTACTGGATTCACTTTGTATTAGTCTATTTCCTGCTTAACAAAGGTAGGCAGCAGCTTGACAAAGCCATGATGGCAATTATTTTACATCCAAGTAGGATGCAGTTCTTCATATATACACACACTTTAATTTCAAACAGATGGTATCGGTATCGGCCAATACCACACAGCCAGGTATCGGGGGCAAAAAATTGGCATCGGCGCACCACTAATAAATATTTTTGCTCTTGACCATTGATAATGTCGCCAACGGACCAATAGAAATGTGTTTTTACTTCAGAGGAAAGCCCAGCCCCAGACGTTCAGTTCAGTAGCTTTTATTTGTCCCAGTATCGGCATTTTTTGTGCAGTAGTAGTGCACCTTTCAAACACATGTTCACATTTCACAAATCACAGATAAAAAAAATAAAAGAAGAAACACATAAAATATTTAAAAAGATAAAAGTAAGGTGGATAAAAGAGACAGAAATGTAAAAAAATAATAAAAAGTAAATATGTGCAAATGAGAGCATAGGCCTGAATGCATGCAACATATGGCTGCTTTTCCTAGTAGAGTTTAGCAGCTGAAGAGCAGAGAGTATAAAGGAGTGTTTGTATCTGTTGGTCCGAACTGGTGTGTATTTAAAACGGGAACCAGAGGATAGAAACTGAAATTCCTTATGTAGGGGATGGGTATAATTATCCAAAATGGACTCAGCCTTTCTGATTACCTGATCGTCATACATTTCAGTCATGTTTTTCTGTTGAACACTCATGATCTTACTGCACACCTTAATATCTTAGATATGGCATTTTTGTTCTTTACATTAAGAAGAGAGTACCAGCAGATGGCAGAGAAGGTAAGTATGGACTCTGTAAAAGATCTGCAGAACATGGTTGCGTGGAAGTGGAGCCAATGCAATTAATGAAACTATATCTGAAAAGAGAATCTGAACAAAAAATAATTCTGGAAAATTAAATATAAAGAAAAAAATTTAATATGAAACATAAAATATGACAAAACTGAAAATTATCTGAAATACAGAAGTTACTTTCTAAACCTGTTTTTGATTGAGTTGTTTGTCAGCTATCATCATCTTAATTTTTTTGCAACAATAATGGAACAATTGTCACTCTATAGTTGCTTTATAAAGCTTAATCTAATTGTTTTTTCAGGCTAAAGTGGGGGATCAAGCCAACCTTGCAGACCTGGCGACCCAGGTATTGTCCTTTACAGACTCCAATAAAGATGGCCACATCTCACTGCCGGAGGCCCGCTCTACATGGGCCCTGCTTCAGCTCAATGAGTTCCTACTGGCGCTGGTCTTGCAGGACCAAGATCACACACCGAAGCTCCTTGGCTTCTGTGGAGATCTGTACATGATGGAGAAGGTGCCGTACTCGCCGCTGTATGGGATAAGCCTGCCTTGGATCATCGAGCTGTGGATTCCCGCCGGTCTACGGCGCAGCATGGAGCAGTGGTTCACCCCCTCCTGGCCGCACAAAGCCAAGATCTCCATCGGACTGCTGGAACTGGTCGAGGACATTTTCCACGGCACCTATGGCAGCTTCCTCATGTGCGACGTTAGGACTACCACCTTCGGCTACAACGAGCGGCACGACTTCAAGGTCACGGACGCCCGCTACATCATCCCTGAAGCCACCTTCCAGGAGAGGATCAGACAGCAGCGCTGCGACGTAGACGAGGACTGTCTCCACGGGACTGACTGCCTCACCAGCTGTGACCTCACCAAGCATCGCTGCACACCCGAGGTCACCAGGCCAAACTTGGCAAAGGCCTGCGACGTCCTGAAGAACTACGTCCTGAGAGGAGCTCCCTCTGACCTAAGCGATGAGCTGGAGAAACAGCTCTATGCCTGCATGGCGCTGAAAGGTTCCGCAGAACAGATGGAGATCGAGCATTCCCTGATTCTGAACAATCTAAAGACTCTGCTGTGGAAGAAGATCTCCCACACGAAGGATTCCTGAACATGGCGTCTGATCTTACTGCTTCCTGAAAATGGACAATCACTTTCATAGGGGAAGAACACTATTTATATTATCTGTATGCAGGATTTTAAATCTAAAGCGGTTTGTTTGGGCATTTTAATACCAGATATTCCACGGACTTAAAGGTGCAGTAGGAGATCTTTTCTGACACATTTTTTACCACGTGGCTTAAAGATTTCCCTACAGCCGCTTAGGAAGCAATGAAATAGAAGGTCTGGGAGTGAAACTAAAATAAATGGTCCCCGCAACATTGAGATGAATAATGAATAACGCCAACCAATCACAAAAGACGGTCCGTTGTACACGATTGGTTCCTGACACATCAATCATGGTTGTCTGCTTGTCCCTCCCCCCTGTGCGAGTACCCTGACAAATGAATGAATCAACTCCTCAATGCTCGTGCAGGACGCCATGGCTGGAAGCTAGCCACTTTTATGCTACGTTCACACCTAAAGCAGCAAGAGCAGCAAAAACGTGCGTGCTGCTTCATTTCTGATGCTTGTACCAGTTTAGTTCTGACGTGTGGCTAAAGCATCTTTGCTGCTTTAGCTTCACGGTGGAAAAAGTGGGTCTGATTCGGGTGGAGCTACCCTATCCTTTCTTTGCCTGGAACAATGGCAGCTATATTTGCTGTGATCAGTGGGTAAAAAGTAGTTTGAATCTACTTTGAAGTGAGAAAGTCCACCTGAAAACAGTCAGTTAATCCAGATTACCATCCTGCCTTCAAATATTATTTCTGTCGGAGCCGCTCAGACCCCCGTACACCGGTGGTGCGCTGTCACTAGGAATCCCAGTCAACAGCAGCCTATGGCCCAGTTGCCTCTGGAAGGTGTTTTTCATGTACCTAATCCAAACTGCAGGCACCAGGATAATTAAAGCAAACATATCTTGCTGGCAGATTTTGACATTTTAAGTTAATTTAGGCCTTAATAAACTATTTCAGAGGAGTGATCATAGCGCTCTGCATCATCAGTGCTGTGTCTGTCTCCCTGCCAGCTCCCAGATCGGCGACATGCTGCATGCAGCGTACACGTTCACGTGTTTTGAAGGCGTGGTTTCGAGGGGTGGTCTAAAGGGAGAGGCATGGTTGTATATGTTCAAAAATATAGCTTGCTGGAGATCTCCTACAGCACCTTTAACACCAGATGGTGACTGGTATCAAGGTATATCTCATTATATTAACATGCTGATGAAGATTCTCAGTCATCCAGGTCGTAGTCATTCCGTAAAAGTTCAAAAAATTCACTGTACTTGGTTTCCAAGATTAGAAGACATTTCGCCACCTCTCCAGGAAGCTTTCTCTATTCAAAAAAATGTATTTATTTATTTATTTTTGAATTGAGAAAGCTTCCTGGAGAGGTGGCGAAACGTCTTCAAATCTTGGAAACCAAGTCCAGTGGATTTTTTGAACTTTTACGGAATTACATTAACACTTGTTTTGGTAAGTTAGCTGAAAAAGTTGAACTCCTTACAAAGTGACACACCCTCACCAGCCACTTAACTGAATCGTACTATAACTGATTATTGGGTTAAGATCTGGTGAATATGGAGGCATTGGACAGATTGATTGTTTCGAAATGTTGGGCTGCAGATGTTTGGGTCTTTATGGTGTGTTGGGTGAATTTAAACCTGGTCAGCAACAACAGTCAGGCAGGCTGTGGTGTTTGAATGAGCTTCTTTTGTTCTGAGAGGACCAAAGAAATGATTTCCCACAATACTATACCGCTTCCACCGGCCTGATTTTATTAAAAAGTGGAGCAATGCTTTATGTTGTTTCTGGGTCTTTCCATGAAAACTGTTCAGTTTGGGTCAATAACATTCAAAGAGGAATAGGAGGCATAATAAAACTGTAATACTTTAAGTGTCTGAAGCCATTGACTCAAGTTGCAGGCATGAGATAAAATAAAATGAAATAATAAATATACATTTTGCACATTTAAAACTTTTTGTGTTAAACTGCAATCATTTTCTCATGTCCGCTTTGACCATTTTTCTCAGTCAGGCTGTAAATTTTAGCAAAGAAAGTATGATCCCTTGCATATTAGACTTATTTATTAATGCTGTACATAAAAAAAAACACTTAACTATTGGTATTTTTGAACAAAAATACACTTTGTGAAGTGAATAACATTTTGTCTGTCTTACTTTTATATAAATTACTGTTGAAGTTGTTAACCTTTGTCCTGTGACAGGGTGGAAAAAGAAACTATGATCTCTGATTATAATGTGCACTGGAAAAACGATCTAGAAATAAGTAAAAAAGTCTTAAGTTAAGTGTATTTACCCTTAATTTGTGGGGATAAATTAGATATTTTGCCAATGGAATGAGTATTTTTACTCTTAAATTAAGATCATTAGAGAATATGCACTTGAAATGAGACAATGTAATTGTGGTCACCTTTTAAGTGTAAATTGTGTTGTTCCATTAGCAAAACGTCTTTTACCTCCTCATTCCAAGAACAAAAGCAGTTATTTTAAGAAAAAATTACTTATTTTTTCCAGTGTCCTAAAATACTTTTGAAAAATGGTGTCTGAACTTAAAAAAATAGATTTTATACGTGTTACATGCTCTATAGTTATGATCAAAAAACCTCTAAATTCAAATTCATAGGTCCAATCTTAACACTTTCCATGGAATGACCCTTACATCAAATTCTGACCTTACCATCTAAAGAAACAGATTCTTTAGTTTTTCGTCTTTCGATTCAATTATACTTTATTAATCCCTGAAGGGAAATTTGGTTTAGCCCGTTCATCCCCTCATACATTGGGAGGACGCAGTGTCCAAAGCCTTTCTGCCCTTAAAGCAAAAGTCTGGTCAGCAAGGAATAATCAATGGATCATTATTTATACCTAAAACTAATGCGTTCGCTGTGATTTAATGAAGTTAATGTTAATCAGTAAAAAAAAATATCAGCAAAAAAAATTTGTTCTGTGTCCCCTTTTAAAACAACAGCCCCACCTTGGCCCCCCTGGTAAACTTTGTCTAGAACCGCCACTGATTGTAAGGCACCCTGATATATAGTTTGCCATTATGGATGACTAGGATGAAATTGGGACTAAAACCTTCAGAAAAACACAAAAAAGCGAACAAATGTAGCCAATGGCTGAAGAACTCAATTATAAACCTCCAAAATATAGCGAGTACATTAGCTTGTGTCAGAGTCGGAGTGTGTTTAACCACATAAAGGCCAGCTGCAGCTCGGTAGGTCAGGAAGTTTCTATGCTAAATGAGCTGGCAGAAGGAAGCATCATGCTCCCTTATCCTAGCTCCTTCCTCACTGCCATCACCATACAATTCAATTCAATTCAATTCAGTTTATTTATATAGCGCCAAATTCACAACACATGTCATCTCAAGGCACTTTACAGTTCAACCAGATCATACAGTCAAATTGATACAAAGTTTTCTATCTAAGGAAAACCAGTTGATTGCATTGACTCATTGACTCAAATACAATCCCCCACACTAAGCATGCTTGTAGCGACAGTGGAGAGGAAAAACTCCCTTTTAACAGGAAGAAACCTCCAGCAGAACCAGGCTCAGTGTGAGCGGCCATCTGCCGAGGCCGACTGGGGTTCAAGGAGACAGAAGCAGAGATACAAAAAGCAGCTGTAAAAGGCGGCCCCGTCCAGGAAACACACAGCCAGGCAGACGAGCTCCAAGGCAGCTCCCATGCCAGAGGACGAAGAGAGCACATCCACTCAGTCACGGTCAGAGAAACAGGACCACACTGGAAAACAGGCCGATCTCCAACATCTATTAACAAGGGTGTTGATAGAAGCAGCACAGCTGATGTTTTTTTCCAGGATGACGTCACAGCCAAACAGGAACAGACGAGGCAAAGCTACTCTGAGGAAAAGCAGAGAGAGCAGAAGGTTAGAGATTGAACTAACAGATTCTGCAGAATAGGAGAACAGAGAGAGAATGAAGCAGAATGATGAAATGGGGGTCCCTATGTCCTCCAAAAGTCTAAGCCTATAGCAGCATAACTATAGAGATAGCTCAGGATAACCTGAGCCACCCTAACTATAAGCTTTATCAAAAATGAAAGTTTTAAGCCTAGCCTTAAAAGTAGACAGGGTGTCTGCCTCACGGACTAAAACTGGTAGTTGGTTCCACAGGAGAGGAGCCTGATAACTAAAAGATCTGCCTCCCATTCTACTTTTAGAAATTCTAGGAACGATTAGTAAACCTGCAGATTGAGAGCGAAGTGCTCTGTTAGGAACATAAGGAACAATCAGATCTCTGATATAAGATGGAGCTTGGCCATTTAAGGCTTTATATGTGAGAAGGAGGATTTTAAATTCTATTCTTGATTTAACAGGAAGCCAATGAAGAGAAGCCAGGATAGGAGAGATATGATCTCTCTTTTTCATTTTCATTAGAACTCTGGCTGCAGCATTTTGGATCAGCTGAAGGCTTTTAACTACAGTTTGTGGACTTCCTGATAGTAAAGAATTACAATAGTCCAGCCTTGAAGTAACAAATGCATGGACTAGTTTCTCAGCATCACCCCTGGACAGGATATTTCTAATTTTTGCAATGTTCCTCAGATGAAAGAAGGAAATTCTAGAAACCTCTTTGATATGGGATTTAAATGACAGGTCCTGATCAAAAATAACACCAAGATTTTTTACTTTATTATCTGAAATCAGTTTAATCCCATCCAAATGAAGTGACTGGCTAATCAGTTTCTTTTTCAGAGACTCTGGTCCAAAGACTATAACTTCTGTTTTGTCTGCATTCAGAAGCAGAAAGTTAAGAGTCATCCAGGTTTTTATGTCTTCAAGACATGCCTGTAATCTATGTAATGGGTTAGCTTCATCTGGATTTATAGACAGATATAGCTGGGTATCATCAGCATAACAGTGGAAATTAATCCCATGCTGTCTAATAATTCTACCAATTGGGAGCATGTATAAAGTAAAGAGAATTGGTCCTAGCACTGATCCCTGTGGTACTCCACAGGTAACCTTTGAGCGTGTTGAAGATCTATCATTAACATGAACAAACTGAATTCGATCAGATAGATAAGATTTAAACCAGTCTAGTGCTGTTCCTTTAATTCCAACAAAATATTCAAGTCTTTCTAAAAGAATATTATGGTCAACTGTATCAAATGCAGCACTAAGATCCAACAGGACGAGCACAGATACAAGTCCATTATCTGAGGCCATGAGAATATCATTAGTGACTTTCACCAGAGCTGTTTCAGTGCTATGATGAGCTCTAAAGCCAGACTGAAACTCTTCAAAAAGTTCATTATGGTGGAAGTGATCGCAAACTTGTTTGGCAACTACTTTCTCAAGAATTTTGGATAAGAAAGGAAGATTGGATATAGGTCTATAATTGACCAAGTCATCTGGGTCAAGAGACGGTTTCTTAAGCAGAGGTTTAATTACAGCAATCTTAAAAGCTTTAGGTACATATCCCTGTAACAGAGATAGATTAATCACATCTAAAATGGAGGAGGAGATCAAAGGGAATACCTCCTTAAATAACCTGGTTGGAACTGGATCTAACATACAAGTTGAAGGCTTAGATGAAGACAATAATTTTGCTAATTCAGAGAGTTCAACTGGATCAAAGCAGTCTAAACCCGGTTCAGATTCCATGACTACCTCAGGTACAATCGCGGATAGAGGAGTGCTTATGATCTTATTTTTAATAAGATCAATCTTATTTATAAAGAATGCCATAAAATCATTGCTGCTAAGAGCAGGTGGAATGGACGGTTCAACAGAGCTATGGCTCTGGGTGAGTTTGGCAACTGTATTAAAAAGAAATCTTGGATTATTCTTATTCTCCTCTATTAATGAGGAGAAGTATGCTGCTCTTGCTTTACAAAGGGTCCTCTTATACAGCAGTAAACCATTTTTCCAGACTAGGAAGGACTCTCGCAGGCCTGTGGAGCGATATTTTCTCTCCAGTTTCCTAGCATTTTGCTTCAAAGTACGCAGCTCTGCATTAAACCAAGGAGCAAGCTTTCTATTTTTAACGGTTTTCATTTTCAAAGGAGCTGCGTTGTCTAAGGCAATACGCAGAGAACTAGCAACCCCATCAACAAAATCATCAACCTGTGAAGGGGAATAAGCTAAGCTTTTGCACTCTGCAGCACTGCTCAGTGACACAGAGCAGAGAGAAAGTGAAGCAGATTCTTTAAAATTTATAACTGCACTATCTGATAAAGATCTACTAAAATTGAACCTTCTTTTGGGGGAGGAGAACTCTGTTAAAGTAATCCTGAAGGTTATTAGAAAGTGGTCAGAGAGGACAGGGTTGTGAGGAAATACTGTTATTTCTTCACATTCTATGCCATATGTCAGCACAAGATCCAAAGTATGAAGATGAGAATGCGTGGGACTATTCACATTTTGAACAAAGCCAATAGTGTCTAAGATAGCATTAAAGGCTGCTCTTAAGCTATCGCCTTCAATGTCAGCATGGATGTTAAAATCTCCCACTATGATGACCCTGTCAGTATTTAATACCAAATCAGAAAGGAACTCTGAAAACTCATCTAAAAATTCAGAGTAAGGACCTGGTGGACGATACAAAGTTACAAAAAGAAGAGGTTTTCTTGCCTTGAAATTTGGATCAGGGAAATTAAGGGTTAAATGTTCAAAAGAGTTGTAGGTATTAATTGTTTTGGGAGTAATCAGTAAGTCAGACTGGAAGATTGTTGCTACTCCTCCTCCTCGCCCAGAACTTCTGGGGATGTGAAAATTTAAATAGCTTGAAGGAGTTGCCTCATTTATGCTCACATAATCCTCTTGCTGCAGCCAGGTTTCTGTAAGGCAAAACAAGTCAATGTGATTATCACAAATCAAGTCATTAACTAGTAGACTTTTAGAGGAAAGCGATCTTATGTTAAACAGACCGCATTTAATTGTTTTAACTTTTTCCCCAATTGGAGTTATTTTGATTTTAATTAGATTATCATGATTTACTCCTTTGGGAATCTTTGCTAATTTATTAGATTTTGGTCGTGGGCAAGACACTGTCTGGATGGAGTAAAGAGTGGGTAACAGTAGAGAAGCTGCAGAGATGTGTGTTAAACTACAACTCTGCTTCCTGGTCTGCACCCTGGGTGGTCAGGGTTTTGGAGGACTAATAAATGTGGCCAGATTCCTAGAAAGAAGAGCTGCACCATCCAAAGTGGGATGGATGCCGTCTCTCCGAATCAGACCAGGCTTTCCCCAAAAGGATACAGAGAGCTCTAATGGAGACAACTGGCTTCCACCATCGCTGAAGTTTCCAAACCAATTTTTAGGCATTCAGAACAAGGTTCACTCTAGATTTTCTTTGTGGTTTGGTTTAGGGATGCACGATATAATCGGCCCCCTATCGGTATCGGCCTGTATCGGCCTTAAAACTGAATATCGGACATCGGCCACCCCGCCGATATTTAACCCGATATTTGATCAACTTCTGAGTTTCTAAAGTCAAAAAAAAAAAAAATACTACTTCTTCCTCAAAAACTTTTTTACAGACTTAAAAACTTCTTAAGACGAGGGGAAAAATATTGATACATTAAAATATCACAATATCTTCATATGCTGATATATTGCCATTTAAAAACACCATATCAATCTTTTACTAATGAAATATTGCTATGTCATCGTTATGCTACGAAATCCCCCGAAAATTCACGAACTTTGGCCATATTTTTATATGTTGATATATTGACGCGGTATCGATCTATTTTACTAACAAAATCTAACAAGAACTTGCAAAATATCACGAGTTTGTGACAGAACGATGAAATTTCACGAGATTTTGAAAGTAAAATTGATCGATACCGCGTTTTTAAAAATCAATTTGATATCAGCATATGAAAATATATTTGAGTATATTATTTTCCAGTGTCAGAAATGGATAACAAAACTGCTATTTTCAATGACTACTTATTTTTGTCCAGCTTTAACATCGGTATCGATATCGGTTATCGGCTACATGAGTTTTAAAATATCGGCATATCGGCCAAAATCCCAATATCGTGCATCCCTAGTTTGGTTCAGTCCAGTTTTCCAGAATAGCTTGGTGGTTTAACCAGGTGCATTAGGGTGCCAGATCTCCAACCCAAGTCCCAAAGATACACCGATTATACACCCCCTGGTTTAGTGGTGATAAACAAGCTCCAACTGACCTGCAATCACCTGAAACAGTTCAGAGAAACATCCAATCATGGAGTCATGTGCTTCATGATCAAATATGGACTATTGGGAAGGAAACTTCACATTAGACTAAGCTCAGTTTCTGCTGCTCTACAAAACCAAGTGAAATAAAAGGTTAATTTTGATCTATATAAAAAAAAATGGGGCTTTGGATCAGTTGGATCGCTCAGGGTTCCAATCATTTTTCTCCTTATTCCACATTATAGTTCTCTGGTTCGGGACTGACTCAGCAGGTGACACCGTTGTCATGGATACCGCTCCATCTGAATCCACCCCCAGATCCCTAGTTGACTTTTCCCCTGAATCGTTTTGCAACCGCCACCCTTCCTGCTCCTTGGTCACCTTTTTCTAGCCACCTCATCATATCAGAATGCTGCAAAACAGAAGTCTGTTCTGCCATAAAGTGACATCACCACTTCAACCTCCCATGGAAGCCATTACCGACACTTTACCACTTCAGTATCAAACTGCTGCATAGATTCTAGTTTGCTGGTTTTTCTAGTCCATTAAAAACAGATTTAATTTTTAAATGCTTAGAAACTCAAACTGAAGGTCTTAGTATTAATGATGAGTCCATGTTTCCCAAAGCAGGATGAATAAAACTGAACCAAAGGCCTGCTTCTTCATTTCAAAGCACATCAGTCAGCCTGACTGAACAGAAACGGAAAAAGAACCACACCGAACACTCGAGGTCTTTTCCACATTTATTAGAACAATTTTCTGCATTCGGACCGGAGCAGACTGATGCCTCAGTCCGCCTCCTCCTGTTCCTGAGCCCGGAGGAAGCTGGCCTTCTTCTGGGCGACGCGGTCCTTCCTCTGAGCCAGAGAGAGCTTGGCACGGTTCCACCTTTGACCCAGACAAAAATAACCATCAACACTTGCTCCACTGGTGACAGATTTTTACAGGGAAATGTGAAACTACAGTCAGACTGAAACTAGACATCCAGCAGTTTATAGACCCATTTTATACCAAAGGATAAGACGACAAACACAAAGCTCCTCTTACCTCTTCTTCTTGACCTCCTTGGGAGGTTTCTTTTCATGAACGGGGTTCTCACGGATAGCAGCATGAGCCTTTTTGTACATTTCCTCAATCTGAAACAAACATCAGCGGAACGTCAGATAACTTTCCACCAAAGGGTTCCTACCTACCCATGTTTTAGACATGTTCAGCATCAAATGTTCATCTGGCTCAGGGGTCAGCCCCCCCAGCTTTTCCAAAAATTTATGCTTTTGGTTTGTTTATTTTAATATGTTGGACAGGAGATCAAATAGACCATTAGGTTTCCCAATACTGTAAACATTTGTATAATAAATAAACTGTAACAATATATGTAAACATTTATTTCAACGAGCCATAAAGATCAGTGGTAAAAACTTGCAATACAGGTCTCAGCACAGCGAGACGGGCAAAGAGAGCGGCGGGCGTGTCTCGGGGCGAAAAAGGATACCCGATGAGAACAGAGGATTGAAAGTAGAATGGAGCGAATCATTTGCTTTCATCATCAATGTGAAGGATTGCCTGCATTTTTGCTTTGGAGTGAGAATTTGTCAAATAAAAATAGTCATTTGGAAAGGCATTTCCAGGGAAGGCTAAATATGCAGCCGAGAGAAAAAAGTGTGATTGCAGAACTCCAATACTAAGTGAAATAAAAGGTTAATTTTGATAGAAAAAAAAAGAAAAGAAAAAGGGTTCCAATAATTTTTCTCCTTTATTTTTATTAGTTCTCTGGTTCAGGTTTGACTCAGCAGTTGCCACGGATACTGCTATATCTGAATCCATCCCCACATCCCAAGTTGGCTTTTCCTCATAACTATCTTGCAATCTGCACCCTTCCTGCTCCTCGTTCCCCTTTTTCCAGCCACGTCAACTTTCTACCCATATTCTGCATTACAGCGCTCTGTGCTGCCATTTAAGTGACCTCACCGCTTTAACCTCCCATGGAAGATTCCTTTGTTTCTATAATTTCATCAACGCAACAAAATGTAAACCACAGAGCAGAAGGGAGGTGAATTCCACACTGTGAGAGCGTTCCCTGCGCGTCCTTCACCTCATGTGACGTTTGCTGCAGGATTAACATTTAATCTTGAATGCTTATTATATATTTAAGCCCACAGTCCTTTTTTTAAATAGCAGTCTAATACACTGAGAGCCCGTGTTGCAATACAAGGCTTATAGAAGATACATTTTTGTGGCTCTAGACAGATTTGTGTTTTTTGGTCCAATGTTGCTCTTTGAACAGTTTGGGTTGCTATTTTTCTAGCCTCTAAATGTTCAACTCTTCTGGTCCATAAACACATTAACTTACAGCCTGGTTTTAGACTGAATGACTGGTTTTGAAATATCAATGGTCAAATGAATCTGTCCTTATTTCTGTCATTTTGTTTGATGTATGATTCGCCAAAACATGCGAACTGATCCAGGTCTAAAAATTAACTGCCATCCATGCGCTGTAAATATATTTGGAGCACCACCTCATGCAAAAGTACAAGTTTGTAAGGTACATACATTGAAGATTTATTGTAACCAAATAAGCAATGAAAACAAAAAGAAATTAAAATCCGTTTTTACCAAAATAGGAAACGGTGAAGCTTTAAGATCAGCAAACAGCAAGAAAACTGCTCTGAACATCCTAGAAAATAAATTCCTTATTCCACTGGGATTTAAATCGCAGACTCCTAAATCACCCTTTACCTCAATTGTTTTATAGTGACGTCTACAAGTCCCAGGCATTATTCTGACCATTTACTGCACGTTTGTTGAAATACTGCAGTTTGGCGCCCTCCTCAGGTCTAAATGGGTTGTGTTTCTATTTAGGACAACTGACCTAAGCAGCTCTTAGGGACTAAACCTAGATTAAAATATGTCATAATGGAAAATTACAAATAAGGACTGTAAGAAATTATTTTAGCAATCCTTAATCAAGAAATAAAAATCAAAAGGGTCAGTCTGCACATTCACTTATGGCTAAAGCTTTTATGAATAGAAATATGAGGAACAAACAAGTAGCCCAGCCCTTTTTTTTAAAAGGAAAAAGCTAGCCGTGTAGAGAAAATGGCAGTAAATTATGTTTCACTTGATTCATTTATTTGTTAAAAAAAGCAAAGTCTTCTAGATTACTTAAGTCAAAAAGGTACATAACTGATTTATGAATATTTCAGTATAATAAAAACTCAGCTTCACGGACTTGCATCACTATCCGTTTTTAGATAAACGGTATGATCCCATGTTGACCGATCAAAACAAAGCTCCACTGGCGGCAGGAGGCCGAGCAGTGAGCTTTGATCAGATGATGCCAGCTGTCTTACTGCAGGTTTTTAAAGTTTCCCTACAACTTTAAAACTATCTATGCCCTTCTTTTGACGGCTGCCTTCTCCATTGTTGAAAGAAAAACTGCCATCGGCAGACCCACCCGCCTGGAACAAGCTGTGTTTTACATTAAACGAACCCTTAAGGCAGATAGTTTGCTTCAATGGATTCTGGTAAATCCTCAAATCACTGGAGGAATCGTTACAGCCCTAAAATAAATGTTTTCTCCATTTTAAACGGCTATTGCAAAATAAATGTATTAAAACTGGATGAGTAAGTAATAAGTCTGAGTCATCTGGCCGGTCTAGTATCAAAATTTCACAGTTTGGTGTCAGTCACACAATCTTAAAGCTATTGGAAAATAAAAACATTTGAAACGAACAGAAAATCCATCAGAATTGAAACAAAAATGGAATTTGACTCAACTTTCTAGTCCAAAATCATTTGGCATTAAGTCTGTGGAGAGGCCACTAGACTTCTATTCGTTCACCTCATTTATTCACCCTTTCATTGGTTGGTTTAGACAAAACTGCTAAAAAGGAATAATTTGCACTTTAATTAAAAATGTATCAAAACAAAAATAATCTCAACTTTATTTTCAAAATAAAAGCCAAAAAAAAAAAAAAAGTATATTCTGAAGTCAGTCTACTAAATATAAAATCTTCAGAATAGTCAGTTAACCAATGATGTCCTGTAGTTTCTTCCCCACTTATTAAAAAAAATAAGTTTTGATAAGATCAGTTTTTAATTCTAAAAACAGTTTTTTTTCACCCCTCTATAGAATCTAAAGAGTGAGACGTTCATTGTGTCGACTCACCATATCTGGGGTGACGCCGTTCTTGATGAAGCGGGAGAACTGCCTCTTGTAAGCCTCCTCATCCTCCTCCATCAGTAAGCTCATGTACTCGGACACGTTGACGCCCATGATGTGTTTACGGTGGACCTCTGCGTTGAACTCCTTGCTCTCTGTGTCATACCCAGGGAAGCGCTTGGTGCTGGAAGAGGGAGGGAAGCAAAAATTAGTATACTTCAAAAATAAACAATGCAGAGGAAGCAAACAGGCTCCATCATTCTCCATCTTAACAATCAACGTTTGTTAAAGTTTCAAACATAAAGCAAAAAGGAGCAGAGGAGGCGGCGCTAAATCCAACCGTCAGCTCAGTGTGACATCGTGTCTGAAAGATGGAGCCTTGTAGATGAGTTCAAACAACCAGGGCTTCAAATCTGCAACTATTTGCACTTTTTAACATGTTTATCAAAAGAAGCAACAATTGAAATAAAGTTACAGATCATTCCTTTAGGGTTAGCTTTAGAGTCCTGAATCGGATCCAACCAGACCCCCTTTTCACATCCAGGGCTGCATGTCAATAAATCATCCACAAATGTGGCAATAAAAATTTAAAAACACCTCAAACTTCAGAAAGCTTCCATGTTTCCAGCAATCCAAGCACTTCTTTGCTGTATTAAATATGATAACCTAATTTCTCTCTAAATGTGCAGAGATCAGGTGCACCAGCATAAATAAATAGAGTTTAACTGCAGGGCAACAGAGATGAAGATGGAGAAAAAAAAAAGCTTAGCCTTCAGTGAAACAGTTTTTCGTGTATTAAAAAAATGAAAAATCAAATGCAGATAAAATTAAAGTTAAACATTCAGACCAGACACCTAAAAAAAAAAAATTTAATAATCAGCTACATCTCATATTCATGGAAATGACTAGGAGGAAAAGAGGAACTCTATGATTTTTTTTGCATCCAGGGCAAAAGCCCCGACCAGTCACTTTATAGAATGGAAAAAAAGGAAAACATTTGTGTCCAAGTCATAATCTCACATTAAATGGGTATCCATCTTTAAAGATTAACAAAAAATTTCTCAGAGAAACAAACCTATAAACTCCCTTTCTCCATCCTCCCTATTAAACAGGATCTAGGTCATTTTTTACATCTTCAAACCGTCAGACATTCAAAGCAACATTTATTCGTTTTCTAAAAGCTCCAAACTATATGTCATAGATAAACTGACTGCCTGTGCTGCTGTAGTTTAACATCGAGTTTGCAGGCGTGTTTCCAGTAGCAGCAGCTTCTTTTCCCCATTTCTGACACTGAATTTATTCTTCAAATTAATATAAATAACTGGAGTTTTGTTCTGCCCTGAACTTTAGAACAAGTTTGAGATTTTTTGGGAGAACTTCAGTTTCTGCTGGCCTTTTCTCCATGGCTGACCTGGTAACCAGGAAACGGCAGAGTTTGCAGAGGACAAAATATCCCAGACTGCTACGTCCTGCTCATACAGGTAGACATTCTGGGTCTGTGTAGGTTCCATTATATTTGCTAAATTGTTTGTTTCAATGAGAGTTTTCTGCATCACGAAGATCATAAAACCTCCTAAGAATCAAACAAATTTAACTTCAGTTCCTTTGCTCTTAGTTTAGAGCTTTTATAGAAAAGCGACTTCAGACTTCCCAGACTTTAGAGGTAAAATGCCTGGTGAATTAGTGAAATGGGATGAGTTGAACCTAAGGCATGCAGAGCAGCCGTTACACCCAGAAAGTAGAGGTTTCCGCTCTGAAATCGTTTCCATGTCAGGTTCCTGAATTTCTCTCTAGAACTCAGGTGCCTGAAAGGTTCTAGAAAGCTAACGAAGTTGGTTCTACCGCTCCAGATATCTGTTTCATAAACAAGCTTCAGCGATTTACAATTTAAAGACGTTATGCAACCATGTAAAATGCATTCGCTGGAGCAGAGACATGTCCTGCACACTTTAGATGCATCTCTGCATCAAGTAGCTGTTTAGCCAAGAATGGGAGAAAAAAAAAAAACTCCTTAAACCTTCAAGCTGTCAGACTCCTGCATCTGCTCCATTAAAGGTACGATAATGGCAACTACAGGGTTAAGGAAGCACTGAGGAGTTCAACCACAGATCAGTCAGACATGGGGAGAGTCGAGCAGATCCAGTCAGTTTTAAAATAACGGGTCCTGCCTGCATGGAGCGAGGAGCGCGGCACAAGTCTAATAATCGGGTCATCAGCAGAACCCAGCTGCCGGATGAGGAGGTCAGTTATTTGACACGTGGAAGCAGAGACACCGGACCGCATGGGTGAGAATTGAGGAAGCCAGATCTATAAAAGAGCTGGATGATATAGAAAATGTTATACAAGCATCACTATTTGCAACCAATTAGATGATTGTCCCCTTCTTCAGTCCGAGGGTTCTCGCCTCTTTCACATATTCTCTTCCTGCCTCCCTTTTTTTTTTTTTTTTTTTTTTTTTATGACTTGCATGTTTGAGACAAACTCTTCCACCTGAAAACCTGCGTTTCCAAAGATCAACTCAACGCGTGAATTAAAGCTCCACTTCAGTTCTGAATCACCAAACTTTGGATTCACTTCTATTGCGGCTGATACATAAGTTTGTTTCTTTAAATAATCCCGTTTAGATTTCTTTACTTTTCTCTCTCATCACAGATTCCATCTGTTTTACTCTTTAATTCGGTTCCAGTTTCTTAAAAACATTGGTTTATTCTCTTTCCATCGTTAATAAATCACAACAGATTCCAGCCGTATTTTTGTACCCGGACACGTTGACAGAATGAGTAACACTTCCTAGCAAACTGGGCATTTATCACAACTAAGATCAGCTTAGTCCGAACTAATTTGAACAATTCAGACCACATAATGTCACAGGACAGCTGCCTGTCGGCTCTGCAGCGTTTGACTGAAAAACATACTGAAAGTCATTTTAAAAGTCATGTCGTTATTAAATAAAATTATACTGTGATACATAATCAATATTCAACTATTGTGAATGTATTATATTTCCAAACAAAACCACAGAAATATTCAAAGAGTAAATATTCTGAATTCCCCAACCAAGAAGCTCCACCTGCAGCTCTTAGAAGGAAATCTAAGCTTCCTAACGGGGCCGTTTTCTACGTTACTGAAATAATAATTCACTGGAATATAAAGACTAACTCATTAGCTGAAACAACAGTTATGCCAAAAACGTAATAATATAAACACTTTGTGTATTTAAGAGGAAAAACCCTCTATTAATATGCCCCATCCAAAACTCCAGTAAGAGTTTTATTTTCACCTGGTTTGAATTCTGTATTATTTTTGTTTAAGGCACCTTTTCCCATCTGTACAATCAAAAATAAAATTGACATTAATCTGTTTTTAGTAAAATAATTCCTAGAGCCCTCGTCTGTTCAACCAAATCTCGGGATTCCTTAAAAAGTTCCTGCAGTGGAGAAGCGTCTATTTTCCTGATAATAAAGCCTGCAATTCTACGAGGAATCATCATTTTATGTTCATGAAACAAGAAACCAAGCCTGAAATTAAATTTTTTAAACCCTATAGCCAAACAGATGCTTCAATATTCTCCAAATTCTTAAGGCTGCTGTAAGAACCACAACAGCGAACCATGTATCACCGGGACCAAAGACGCGGTTTACATTGTTGAGTAAAACATTCCCTTCTTGGTCCTTTGAACCATTTTTTTTTTTTTAACTCCAACTGAACAGCTGTCCGATTCAACTGTACAAGAAGCTAAATGCGAAAACAGAGTCAGGTCGCTGCTTTAGGCCTGATGTTCCCTGGAACCGCCTGTCAGCAGGTCTGTGGGTCAGCTCACCTGTGTGGGATGGACAGGCCTCCATCCACGGCTCCCTTCAGAGCACCGAACACCTTGTTGCCTGTGGTGGTTCTGGCGAGCCCAGCATCCAGGTAGCAGGTGAAAGCTCCCGGCTGACCATCAATGCTCTCCACGTTGAACTCATCCCCGGTCACCTCCACCTGGCCCTCGTACACCTTATCCAGGCCAAACTTGTTCAGGAGCTGAGAAACAAAAGTTTTTACATGACACTATTCTGATCGAGACAAACAATTCAACCAAGCAGGAGCCAATTTAAAATATATATATACACATATATGTATACGTACTCTGCGGGCGAGCAGCAGACCAGTACAGTAGGCTGCTGCGTAGTTTGTCAGACCCACGGTGATGCCATACTTTGGCAGCTCATGTGAGTAGGCAGCACACACGATCATGTCTCCCTCGATCTTGGCATAGGCGATCTGCAATCACAGCAACATCAACAAGGCTGTGCAGGAACACAGACAAACCCAAAGCCCTTAAAATGAGCAGATCCCTGGTCCCCACCTGGCAGATGATGTCCCTGTTGGTGAAACGGACGATCATGCGATACTTCGGTGTGTTGTACTTGTTCTTATCTTGGACGACCAGGCGTTTGCGAGCAAAGAAGTCAGTCTTTCCCTCTAGAAACGAGACAGATTACCCTCAGAATGACAACCATCACCATGCATGTGAGGGGCTGTGTGTATGGGGGTCGTTTTACCTCTCCTCCTCCTGAATTTAACCTGGTACCTCTTGAAGTAGGCCTTGTTCTTCACCACTTTAACAAAACCCTGAAGAAACAAGAGTAAATTAGCAGAAAGCAGCGCCAAGATGGGACACTTTACCCGGTATTAGTAAATTAACGCACACATAACTGTCAGTGTCAGAAAGCAGCGTTACACCATGCTAACATCAGTTAGCATGCGTAGACATGGGACAGTAGCCGATGAGCTAAGCTAACACGTCGACTATGAGCACCAATAAAATAGATTAACTCTGAAAGTTAGTTGGGGCGTAGGTCTGAAAGATTAACCTAAAGATCGTTTAAGTGGAGCCATCATAGAGGAGACGTCTAAAACCAACAGGAAGCAGAAAGTGCGGACAGGAACGGGTAGGCCACGTTTAAGCAGCACCGGGCTAGGCTTTAGCCGGAATAAATCCATCTTCATCTTAACAACACATCTACGTTTTCAACCATCTGACAGCAAAAAACAACGCTTGGATATAAAGGGAATGCATGTGGACTCATATGAGGCCAAACTACCAACCATTTTGCAGTCTTTTAGTCTCCTTATGAAGGAGCCCGGAGCCAAAGACTGGGGCTAGACTCCACTGCACTTGAAAAAGAAAGATTGGCGTGCGCATGCGCACTAAATAAGCGTCACGTGTTGAGGATATAGAGACGCCATGTTGTAGTACAATAAAGCCTGCCCCCTAGTGACTTGGAGGTATAACTTCAGAATAAGAATGTATCTGTTAAAAAAATTTCAGGGGTATTATAATGCTATTATACTATTATTCTGTTATGATACTATTATTATACTATTTTCATGTTAAGAAACAAAATTAGGTGTCTAGTTCAATTAAAGGTTTGTTTTAGATGCTTACAAAATCAATTCACATACACAAGAAATTTCATCATCCATCCATTCATTTTATGTCACGCTTTATCCCTGCTGGGGTGGCAGGGGCCACTGGTGCCTATCTCCAGCTATCTATTGGTCCACCCTGGACAGGATGCCAGTCCATCGCAGGGGCAGAAAACGCAACAATTAACTCATGATGTCAGTAGAGTGGAGGCCAATATCCGGCCAAAAACTGTCCCTTATTACATTTTCACGAAGTTGAACTTGGCATAGATAAAGGGCTTTTTTGTTCTGTTGAAATCATTGAAGTTTTTAAAACATTGAGTACCAACAAAGTGGATTCAATGCCAAATTCTAGCATGACTGTTTATTTTAGTACAGAACGCTTTCCTCAGAGCATTGTTAAAAAGATCATACTACCTCTAGTTCTACAGATGAGTTTGATGGAAACACCTCAATAAAGTATAAACCTTTCTCTAATCCACCGTTCGCATTGAAACTTATTGATAAAGCATGTTGCTGCCTTCTGTTCCCAAAAAATACCAACATTTCCAACACCGGCTGTGGATGGTACCAGGTGGGTTTTGGCTTTTTACGCATTTCCAACTCGACAAAGTAATTACCTAAAAATGGCTTGTAACTTAGTCAAAACGAAAAATATTGCTAATTTTGTGTTTGAAACTCCAAAAAAGTAGTCGAAAACTAATTTTACAAAACCTCCCTTCCACACCAGACATTTACTGTACCACCCAATCCACCACCACCAGCGGTGTTCTTAATTACTTAAATTAATGAGACGGTCTAACAATCACTGGAACAACGTAATCTAAACAATTCCAAATATGAACAATAAATGAAAAATGTTGGTTCTAAATTAACTTAAATATATTTTACCTACCAAAAGAAGAAAAATAAGTTGGTAGAAATTGCAAATTACATGTAACATAAATGGCCACAACAAAGCAACTAGGCGAACAGTAATGACGTTCAGTAGGTTTCAGAGACAGAGAGAGACAGATTTTTTTATTTGTCATTATATTTACACACGTTTAAAACAAAAAGAAGTTCTATTTAGAAACAGCTCACTGGACAATTTCATCTTTTAAAAGTACTGCCTTGAAAAATAGTAAAAACAACTGTAAATTTACAGTTCTAACATTTTTTTCAAAGCTCATTATATCATAAAAACAGCACCGGTTAGGCTCAGTAATGAGGTTCTCATAGCTCCATAAAATTGACCTGTTTTCACCCGTTCTATTAGATCCCAGTGCTGAATTTGATGCTGTCAAACATCAACGGCTCCATTGTGTTAAAGGGATAAAGGTAGCAGAGTTAGAGTGGGTTTGATTTTATTTCTGCAACAGATAGTTTGTTCAGGTTTTTAATCAATCTTTCTCTAGCATTTATGAAGCACCACAGAGATTTGTGCTCCACCCAAATTTAATTTCACATTTGCTGTATAAATGCAGAATATTTATGATTTGCATGTATATGGTTTTATAGCTGCCTTTATCTGAACAAATTCAAATGATGATTTGCACTTTGTTTTTACCTGCTCTGGAAAGGTTTTCTTATAAAATCGTGCTTTTTGCAGATTTTCAATTCTCTTTAAACCAGCTGCCGCATTTCTTTCAACTTATTTTTTTGGGTCTTTACTTAGCACCATACATTATATTTTTTAGTTCTGAGAATTTTTTCTTATCTCTCTTTAGTGGTTTTTTTTACCTTTAAAATGATCACTTCATTTGGATTTATAGTTATACATATGCATATATATCTATATATATATAGATAGATAGATATACATATCCATATATATATATATATATATATATATATATATATATATATATATATATATATATATATATATATATATATATATATATATATATATATATATATATACATATATATATATATCTATATATATATATCTATATATAGATATAGAGAGATATAAATCTCTCTATATCTATATATATATAAATATATAAATATATATATATATATATATATATATATATATATAGGGAAAGAGATATATAGGGAGAGAGAGAGAGAGTTATACTGTATATGTATATATATTTATATTATTCTGTGTGGTTTGTGTGTGGGAGAGTTATTTCCCTCTGGGATTATTAAAGTATGTCTGATTCTGATTCTGAAGATTCTGTTTTTTTTTGTTTTTTTTCTTATTTTCATAAAAAATGTTGATGCAAAGCTTTTGTTGGATGTTTAAGCCCCGGTCTTTGCAGCACTGATGGAGCTCTTTTAATCTGGTTGGTGTCCATCTCTCAAATATGCTAAAAGTTACTCCAAAATGGTTCCAAACAATAATTTTAAGCTGCTCTTTCTAATCCAAAACCTGTTTTAACGTGTTTAGGATCTTCAGCCAATATAAATCATTTTCTTCAGATAGAATATTGAGCCGGAAATATTAGTTGGTTGAAGGCTGCAATAGGAGTGTGCAATGCAACCCGACGGACCAAATATGGCAGAGATATAAATGTAGAGTTTAGATAAGAGAAAATCCATTTTGGTTCAAATTTTTGTTCAAATTAAGCAAAGCTGTTTGCTTTAGGTTCACTAAACATTTAGTTCCTGCTATCTTCCTTTAGTTGTTTACATTTCTGTATTGTTTTATATCAACTTTCATCTTTAATTATCATCCTATTTCTTTGTTGTTCTTTGTATGGCGTGGTTCCAGTCGTTCTGTCTGCTTTGCTTAGATCCCAGATTGTCCAGAAGGCGAATAAAATCAGGAGAGTTGCAGGAGGAAGGTCTCACTTTGAATTATAACCCTCACCCCTCACACACGCACACAATAATAACCAGAGACAGTGTTGAATCTTGTTCCAATTGACTTTAGGTGGTTTATTTATAAAGAACAAATTTACAACTTTTCATTTTAAAACACTTTGCTCTAAAAGACCAACAGATTCTGTTCTAATCAAGTGCAACTCATTTAAATTCCATTTCAAATTCAATTCAATCAGTTTATTTATATGGCGCCAATTCACAACACGTGTCATCTTAAGGCACTTTACTGTTCAACCAGATCATACAGTCAGATTGATTCAGTTTTCTATCTAAGGAAAACCAGTTGATTCATTCGACTCATTGACTCAAATACAATCCCTCACACTGAGCATGCTTGTAGCGACAGTAGAGAGGAAAAACTCCCTTTGAACAGGAAGAAACCTCCAGCAGAACCAGGCTCAGTGTGAGCGGCCATCTGCTGAGGCCCACTGGAGTTCAAGGAGACAGAAGCAGAGATACAAAAAGCAACCATAAAAGACGGCCAGGTCCCATGTCAGAGGATGAAGAGAGCACATCCAGTTAGTCACGGTCAGAGAAACAGGACTACACTGGAAAACAGGCTGATCTCCAACATCTAGAAACAAAGGTGTTGATGGCAGCAGCATAGCTGATATTTCTCTCCAGGATGGAGTCACAGCCAAACAGGAACAGACCAGATGAAGAGAAAAAGCAGAGAGCAGAACGTTAGAGATTGAACTAACAGATTCTGCAGAGTGGGAGAATAGAGATAGAATGAAGCAGAATTCCTGCCTCAACCACCTTTTATGTTCCACACCTAGCATTACCTTGGTCTCTGCTCGCATGTCTGTGCCAAAGGAAAAATCTTAACATCTAAAAAAATAATAAAAAAATAAGATAAATCTAGTGGGATAAAGAAAATATAACCATGGATGTCTGGGGGACAGTGATTCACCTACATGTTATGAATGCTGGCGTACAATAAATGATTAATTATGAACAGTTTAGTTTGTGCCTTCAAGTCGTTTCCCAATAGGAAGACGTTACTTGGATATAACCTAACGGAATATCTTCAGAACGGCTCCAAATGACACACAACTAATATGGGTAGAACATGGTGTAATAAAGTAAAATCAAGGGGCCAATGTAGAAAAATAAGCGGAGTTCCCCTTTAAGTACACTTTATCGGTGTTACACTTTACTCCATTACTTATTTTTCCTCCTACTTCTGACTTCTACTCATTAAATTTTCACACCAGTATCTGTATTTTCTATTCCTTACATTTTTAAAACAAACGTTACTCGTTACTCTTGGCTTCAGTTTAATGTTTCTAAATATTTATTTCCCGTCATGTGCTCCATCCAATGCAGATCATTGGCTCCCTCCACATCTAGTGAAAACTAGTGTGATTCGATGAGTCATATAACGCAAACACTCATTGGTTAGCTAAAGGAAATCATCAGAAGCAAGCAGGTGTTCTTTAAACTGTAAACGTGAATTGTCTATGCCATGCTACAATGTGGGATTCAGGAAAAAATGTTGAAATGTCTGAAAGGTCGGACACAGGCGAGAGCGTATCGGGAGACGGAGACCAACAAGACCTCCCTCATCCTTGGCCCTATCTCAAAGAAATTTTCAAAATAGTCGAAAAATTGAGCTTTCAGTTCATATAGTGGCATCTGGCTGTTTTTTTTTTTAAAGGTTATTTTATACTTTTATACTTTAAGTAGTTTTTTGAGCATGTACTTCTCCACTTTTACTTGAGTAAAGAGGTCAAGTTGATTCTTGAAACTGCAGTATCTATACTTCTACTTAAAGGAATAGTACACCCAAAACATGATTAGCCTTCATTTTCTACTCACCCCCATGCTGAACAACACTCTGGAGTACTTTTTTGATATCTCAAATGCATCTGGAGATCTGGGAGGCTTCTTGCTGTCTGCTGACATTCAAATAATGGAGGTCTATGGTGCCCGAGGCAGAAAGGTCCATAAAAGTCCACAAAAAACGTGTCAATATTCCTCCATACTGCTCGTCCAATGTATTCCAAGTGTCCTGAGTGGGTAGCGTCCATAATTTACTCGAAACGAAGTCATTTAGAATGTTTTTAGAGCCTAAACAGTAGTGTATAGGATTTCCTAAAAGCGCGCGCCTGCGAGTTCACGAGTCTACGGAACCCGCGGCAGACCAAACCAGATGAAAGTGCGCATTCAGCTCGGCAAAGAACTCATGCTCTTCCTCAACACTGAAGTCCTCAGACATTTTTCTTTCGTTGTTTCTTTCTTTGCACAGGTAAACAGCACATTTCTTCTTCTACGCTTGCATTATCAAGAGCAGACGCTAATTGCGCACTTTCATCTGGCTTGGTCTGCCGCAGTTTCCGTAGGCTCGTGAACGCGCTTTTAGGAAATCCTATACACTACTGTTTATGCTCTAAAAACATTCTAAATGACTTGGTTTCGAGTAAATTATGGACGCTACCCACTCAGGACACTTGTAATACATTGGACGAGCAGTATGGAGGAATATTGACACGTTTTTTGTGGACTTTTATGGACCTTTCTGCCTCGGGCGCCATAGACCTCCATTATTTGAATGTCAGCAGACAGCAAGAAGCCTCCCAGATCTCCAGATGCATTTGAGATATCAAAAAAGTACTCCAGAGTGTTGTTCAGCATGGGGGTGAGTAGAAAATGAAGGCTAATCATGTTTTGGGTGTACTACTCCTTTAAGTAACAAACGTGTGTACTTTTGACACCACTGTGTATAACTGTGTTAACCATGAATGTATGAGGACTTTTATTCGTCCCTCAGAAACTTGAGCCCCAGGCAACCGCCTAGTTTTGCCTAATGGTAACTCTATCACTGTTCTTAGTTTATAAGCGTCTGAGTAGCTGTTTTTGTTTTATTTTATTGTTAAATCTGAATAATTCGTGCCTCCTGCATTAATCCGTTTTCAATGTAGACTGATTTCATCTAAAGCAAAAGGAAAGATATGGAAAGGTTCTGAAAGGGGAACATGTTGTTCTGTTAGATAAGCAGGTGGTGGCTGCAGAGAATGTACCGAACTACAAATTTAACCTGCTTCTCTGCTTAAGAAGTGTTTATGATTTTTTTTTTTTTACTTTGAGATGTGAGGAGCTTTGAGTTAATGCAGCAGCTCAGTGGAAATTAAAGCCTTAAAAGGCATTAGACTAAGGTGAAAACAGAGGTTTGGAAAGGAAGAATCAGGATAAACATGTCTGATCTTATTTAACATGTTCCTTCCTCGTCTTCTATGTAGTTTGACTCAACATTTTTCCAGCTATCTCTACCTTGATAATTTCTATGTTTACAGTTATGCAACGTTTCCAGCCGAGACGTGACATGCAGGCTGACGTATCAGATTTACGGGGCTGCGCTTGGTCATGTCGTGTCTCCTGGATGACGCCACGACGTCAGCTCCTTCTATGAGCAGAGGAGTGTCCAAGCAGCCAACAAAAGGCATGCGTCACACCTCGCTCTCATGTTAAACCTGAAAAGTTGGTTTGTGGGATTGTTCAGTATGTGGATCTAGACACATTTTCACCGCCGCAACTTCATTCTCACAGTTTCCTTCAGTCTGAGTTTCTGTTGGTCACTGAGTGAAGCCGGTCTACTGAGCAGGTTCAATCCGATTGTCATTCTTTCTTTCTTTTTTTTTCTTTTTACATTGAATAACCTTTAAATACTTTCTTTAAAAGGACCCATACATATTTATTACACTGATATATAGCATTAACTGCATTTACAATGAGGACAGGGTGTCTTCAATAAAGGACTCTCCTGGGGATAATAAAAAGATCTGAAACTCCAACAGAGGTATTTTCTTCCTTCAGCAATGAACTTCAGGTAAGACATTCTAATAATATAACACAGAAATTGCACACATTACATAATACATTGCTATTATTTCTTAATAATCAGAAAGTAGGCTAACAAACTTAGAATTTGTTTGAAAGGGGTTTAAAAAATTATTCAATCAAATATCTTAATTAATATTAATTAATATTGATCAAAAACACTGCTGAATAGATCTTAAGTTTTGAAAGTATTTATAGGAAAACATTCATTTCCTCATCCTATTTTTATATAACTCTTAAACCTCCCGCCCCAAGTTGGCAGCATTCAGGAGAGGAGCCTATTATTTAGCTGCTCTGCTCCCACAGAAAAGCAACAGAACCTCATGGAGTTTTCCAGACCTTTATTATTATAAGATGTCAATATATCGACTATGTTTATGTATTGGGATATATCAGTATAAATTGCATTGGGACATGTGTATTACGATACATATCTTATAACCAAATTCTTGTTGCTTCACACTCCTGGTATTTGATCATAAATGAAGTCAAATCAAACGACTGTTTTTCAAGTTGGTTTATTGGAAGATATTCCTTTTAAATGCAAGATAAGTTTATCAATAGAGCAGCAATCATGTGCAAGGAAATCCAAATGGTTTTACTAGACATCGGAGGTTAGACACCAAAAAAACAAAGGCTTAAAAGCATCAAATAAACAATTACTTAAAATACAGATATTAAATGCATAAAAGTAAGTAAATATTGAGATTTTATTCCAATAAACTCTGCTTTGAAATAAATATAATCAACTCCATCAGTTCATATCCTTAAAATGGAGGGTATAAAAAAGGTCCTGTGAGACATGTCAAATATTTATGCACTTTAAATCACTTCAATAGGATATACTCAGTAGATCTGGGCCACATTTGGAGAAATAAACGATATCTAGGAATAAAGGATGTTCGATGTATTCGGCATGTTATCAGTACTGAAAAAAAGTACTTTAAAGAGTACTTCTATTTTACAGTACTTTTTTTCTTTAGTAGCATACTTGTTAAGTGTCGCTACTCCTAGTTATATATAAATATATAGAAAATATATATTGAATATATAAATATAAACTCTTTTTGGCTGCATCATCTCTAAACAACAAATACAATGTGATGGTCCAACAAATAATCTGTACTTAAGTGGCCTTTTAAACAAATATTTCATTTATTTTTTCCTTGGATAACTACTGTTTACAAATTGTGAAGTGCCATTTGTTGGTACTCTACTCACCTCTGGTACCATGATATCTAATACAGAGGTTGGGAAAGACAATGATATTGTCTGTTGTACTTTTTATCTTTAATCGCATTTTGCTTTAACTCTTCATACTCTATATAAGCTACTGGGAACAGAACTTCCCTGAAGGAGTAATCCCAAAGGATAACTAAGTCTAAGTCTTCTAAATCTTTTATCAGGCATTCGATCATTAGTGAAATATCAAACACCCCAGTCCATAAAGAAAAATATCATTAAAAATATATAAGTTAAACAAGATTTCATTTTATTTAGATTTTTTTTGTGCTTTTTTTAATAATGCCTGTTTAACTCCTCTAACTCCTGTTTGTGACTGAACAGAGGAGGGGGCTGTCCAAGCTTCCATCCATCATGGACACCACCTTCCACCCTCTGCACCAGACTGTAGAGGAGCTGAGCAGCTCCTTTAGTTAAAGACTTTTACACCCTGTTTGTAAAAAAGAGCGCTACTGCAGGTTATTCATCCCTCATGCAGCCAGACTCTACAGTGTGACACTACAATGGCAATAACTTGTGCAATGTTAATGTGCAATTTACTATTTGATACCCTGTGCAATAACCTGTTTCTCTATATCTGACATCCAGTGCAATTTCAATTCAATTCAGTTTGTTTCTATTGCGCCAATTCACAACACATGTCATCTCAAAGCACTTTAAGTTCACCAGATCATCCAGTCAAATTGATTCAAAGTTTTCTATCAAAGGAAAACCAGTTGATTGCATCGACTCTTTGACTAAAAGGAAATCCCTCACACTAAGCATGCTTGTAGCGACAGTGGAGAGGAAAAACTCCCTTCTAACAGGAAGAAACCTCCAGCGGAACCAGGCTCAGTGTGAGCGGCCATCTGCTGAGGCCGACTGGGGTTCAAGGAGACAGAAGCAGACATACAAAAAGCAGCTGTAAAAGGCAGAGAGAGCAGAACATAAGAGATTGAACGAACAGATTCTGCAGAGTGGGAAAATAGAGATAGAATGAAGCAGAATGATGAAATAGGGGTCCCTATGTCCTCCAGCAGTCTACGCCTATAGTAGCATAACTATAGAGGTAACCTGAGCCACTCTAATTATGCGCTTTATCTCTATATATATATATATATATATATATATATATATATATATATATATATATATATATATATATATATATATATATATATATATATATAATATCCATCCATATAAATACCCTGTGCAATAATCCTGTATAATGATCCTACTATAAAAAAAAAAAAGCTGTCATATGTGGACGTACTGTATATACTGTATGTATCCCATGCATATTTTTCTTCCTTTGGCCCATTCTGAGCCAATGTAACAAGTAAAATTCCCTCCAACTGCAGTTGTTTATTTTGTCCACTTGGTGGCAGCATTACTCCAGTTTAGCGCATGCGCTGTGACGATGTAAACAGTGAAGGCCGTTTCTGTGGGTCGGTCCTTAGCAGACATTTGTGTACACGTATTACGGTTACATGGGCTGGACCGAGGAGTCAATGGGAGCAGGCTAACTTAACGCTGGCTAGCTCTTCAAGAACAAACCTAGCCGCTCCGGCTTGTCTTATTCTTCTACGCGCGCGGATAAAGCGTTTGTTAGAGGGATTTTTTCTCTGATTAGCGGAGCCTTATCCTCGTGCATGGGAAACAGGAGGCGCGTGCTGCTGCTGCTGCTGGCTAAAAACGCTTCAAGGTAAAGGATGTTCTCTTTTTTTCTTGGGCTCGGTCTAATTACTGGAGTTGACTCCTGTTCACCGGTGGACTCAAAGTTATCTCCTTTATTGTGGCTGTGGTGACATTGCTCTGGAGTCATAGACACTGTTATTACTGAACTCTTCCAGCCGGTTTTTCGCAGTATTACTTCGAACTGGTGTCGCTGGAGCTTAAACATTTGCAGCTGGGCTCTTTAACTGAAGTATCTGGGTATTGACTGTGTTAAAAAAATAATAATAAAGTTACTATTTAAGCTGTTAAGCCTTTAAAATTGTGTTTTGTTTAGCTTTGTGGTGTCTCCTCTCTATAATAAGGGTGTAACTTGTGGATTTTTCTGGAAGACTGTTGAATTTGATGCTAGATCCCCATGATAGGGCTCAGCACCATCGAACCATAAAAGGAACCTGGGCTTCTGAGGCTAAAGTCATTGTTTAGAGATGGAAATGTTGCAGAGATGTTGGACAGGCAGGGGGCTGAAGGTGCTACGCTGTCATGTTGACTGTTTCTCAGACTGCAGACAGAAAAAAACAAAAAACATATTGAACAGTAATGCAGTGGATGATAAACCAACCTCAGATTAGCATCTTCAAATCAATTCAGTTTATTTCTATAGCGCCAATTCACAACACATGTCATCTCAAGGCACTTTAAAGTTCACCAGATCATCCAGTCAAATTGATTCAAAGTTTTCTAAGTAAAACCAGCTGATTGCATCGACTCATTGACTCAAATGCAATCCCTCACACTTAGCATGCTTGTAGCGACAGTGGAAAGGAAAAACTCCCTTTTAACAGGAAGAAACCTCCAGCAGAACTCAGTGTGAGTGGCCATCTGCTGAGGCCGACTGGGGTTCAAGGAGGCAGGAGCAGAGAAACAAAAGGCGGCATCATCCAGGAAACATACAGCCAGGTAGACGAGCTTCAAGCCAGCTCCCATGTCCGAGGATAAAGAGAGCACATCCAGCCAGTCACAGTCAGAGAAACAGGACTACACTGGAAAAACAGGCGATCTCCAACATCTATAAACAAAGGTGTTGATGGCAGCAGCACAGCTGATGTTTCTCTCCAGGATGGAGTCACAGCCAAACATGAACAGAACAGATGAAGCTACTATGTGAAAAGCAGAGAGAGCAGAACGTTGGAGAGAATAGAGATAGAATGATGAAATGGGGGTTCCTATGTCCTCCAGCAGTCTAAGCCTATAGCAGCATAACTATAGAGATAGGTCAGGATAACCTGAGCCACTCTAACTATAAGCTTAAACAAAAAGGAAGGTTTTAAGCCTAGCCTTAAAAATAGACGGGATGTCTACTTTTAAGTTATATATTTAATGCAGCACATTTCTGGAGTTTGCAGTAGCATATAAAAATTGGGCTAATAAGAGAACGGTTTCAGAGAGCTAATGAGAAGCAGTGTAGGTCAGTGGTGTGAAGTAGCATGTGTTGGTCATTATAAGATCAGGAAGCCTGAAGCTGATCAGGAAAAGTAATAAAACAAATTATTTATTCTAATTTAATATAATTTAAGTATTTCTATTAGGCCTTTCTGACCTAAATGTAGAAAAAACAGGGATCAATGCTGGTATTTGTACAAACACTCACTGCCATTTATTTCTTCTTTAACGCTCTCTTTGTTGCACCCATCTATAACTTTAGAGGATTTTTTGTTGTTGTTCTGGTAATAATTGATTTATAGATAATCCAATCATTGGAATAAATGACAGATGTATTATTTAGTGTAGCAGCCAAACGTTTCCGCACAGGACATGAGCTGATTATAAACCCTTGTCTTTTAAAGCGGCGATGATCAACAGGCATGAACTGATGCTCAGTCATTGTATGAAATGTCATTCAGTACTTGACATTTTCAATTATGAAACATCTAAAAGTTTAAAGCTCCAGTGTGTCATTTTCTACCGACCAGACTGCAGACCTATCCTATCAACTGATACTGAGGTTTATTTACATTAGAGCAGCATCAAATCCATAAATTCTTCAACGCTTTTTTGTCAAGTTCATTAACGAGTAGGGATGGGGATCGTTAATATTTATTGATATCGATACCTTTATCGATACTCCTTATCGATCCGAGTCTTTATCGATACCACTATCGATATTTTTCTGTTATTTGGTGGAAAGACGATGCAACAATATTTTTTAACAGAACTGGTATTGCTTTTATTGCTCAACAAGTGAGCATAACAAAAACGTTTCTAGCCTTCAATAAACATGGCTAATGTAATAGGCCACTTTGAAATGACATAAAACTAACTAGAATATATTTTCACAATTGTTGGTTAATTTATTGTCTACTGTCACTTTTCATCATGTTTTTAGTGATTAGGAAAATATTTAACAAATAAATAATTTTATTTTAAATTAAATGTAATTTTTAATAAATGTTGGCATCAGTAGTTTAATTATATATTCTAAAATAATTAGAGCAGTATACAACTGGATTACTCGTGTTTCTCGCCAAAAACTCAATTTCCCGTTTTCTTTACGTTACACTTGAAAGCATCATGATAACCTAATTGTCGTTTTACTGAGCCAATCTGAACACATCATCACGCAGCACGTCTGAAACTTTATTTACTATTCAAGCTAACTAGCTTGTATGCTGCCGATTACAAGACGGATTTCACTATTACTATTTTTAACTGACCGGACAAGCTACAAAGTCTGTGTGCGCGCTTACCAGTGGTACTCTGAGTGGATGATGAAGATGGGCCCGATTGTGGTGCGGCGGCAGGAGGAGGAGGCGTCTTTTCTGTTCAGCCATCCTCGAGTCGCGAGCAAAGTTAAGTGCCAGACTTCACTTGTTTTACTTTTAATATCTGTTTGCTTACAATTTCATTCCAAAACATTGGTGGACATGCTGCAGTGATTGGATTGATTAGATTTAAATGCTGTGACGCGACTCGAGGGACACACAATTATGTTACAGGACCTCCGGGAGAAAAAAAAAAAAACGACCAGACTCGATAGTGGTATCGATAAGCCCAAACGTTATTGATTTTCGGGTTTTGAAAAAAGTGGAACCGGGTCCTTGATGGAACCGGGTTTCGATCCCCATCCCTATTAACGAGTACAAAAATTAGGAGACGAGAAAGTGTCCTTAATTGACCACTGCTTTTTTTGGAAGGAGGCTGGATAGACAAGCTTTTTTAAAATCAAAATGGAAGACAGAAACTAACGTTGGCAAAGAATGAAGCAGGGAATGTTCTTAAGAGGTTTGTTAGTGGCTTTTAAAAAAAGCTGTTTTAATTTAGTTCTAGAAGAACTGTTTCATGTTCAACCTCCAGCACAGACACGGACCAGCTTCTGCTTCTGTCATCCCACTCCGCCGCTCACTTCGCCAGCAGACGATGTTTAGCAGTCCTCTAGCCATCTCTTGCAGTAGCCTCAAGATCAGTGGTCTCCAACCCTGGTCTTCAAGATCTACTGTCCTACAGATTTTAGATGCATCCCTGCTTCAACACAGCTGAATCAAATGAATGGCTTGAAAAGGTAATCAATCATTTGATTCAGCTGTGTTGAAGCAGGGATGCATCTAAAATCTGTAGGACAGTAGATCTTGAGGACCAGGGTTGGAGACCACTGCTCTAGATTCTAGCCTCAGCCTGCTGTCGTCTCTTCCTACTTTGTCCCTCTGGCGGGCTCCTTCTATGTCACTGACAAATTGAATAAAGGCCAAGTTATGTCTCTGACGCATCGCCTCTGTAACCGTCAAATCTTTCTCTGTGTCGTCGTCGCGCACCTCAAAAAAATTCTGACTACGCATTGGACAGTCGCAATCCTGCGCAGACAAAAAGCAGCTGTGATTGGTCCTTGGTATGCCTTTCCGGATGTCTGTGTGATCGTTATTCTCGATTCAGTGCCGGGGCGCGACATTTTTAAAAAACCGAGGAACAACTACAATGGACAACTACGACGAAAAGGTTAATCGAGGAGGTTTGGAAGTACAACCACTTGTACGATGCCTCAGACAAATTATATAAAGATGCCAAGGTCTCTGCAAAAACAAAGTTCTCGTGACCATCCACCGAAGTTCTCGCAAGTTCTCGAATAGGCTCCCCCTTGTGCTTTGGAGGGAAGCTGCTGTGCGTCCCTAGAAATTCCAGACCGACGGTTCAGAAGCATACCAGCAAAACTGGTTTGTAACCAAATCCAAGCGTTATTTGATGTGTGCAGTTGTGTGCAGAAGTATAATCTGCCCTTAAGTCTAACGCTGTTCTGCTTCAGTTCTCCGCAATTAGCCTCTAGCTAACCTGAGGCATCTGTAGCCTCTTCCAGGCCATCAGTGCTCTGTTTACTGGCAGGCCTCTCCAAGCTTCTGCTGTATCCCTCAGCTCTCTTCCCGAGCTAGCAGCGGAAACTTGCCGCCTCTGCCGCTGTACAGCTCGTCCCCTTATCGGCTATTGTTCTTGTACTGATTCCCTGCTGCTCCTCCCTAAGCTTAGGAACACCGTCTCCCCTTACCTCTGTTGTCCAGGTGATTTGTCCCCCTGTTTTGGGCACTCTGACCCCCAAAAAAAAAAAAAAAAAGTGACCGATGGCAGAAGAGAGATGCTCAGGAAAAAATGCAACAACCGACTCTTGAAATCAATTGTCATCACAATAACCAGGAGGTTGCCGGTCGTGGCCGGTGTAAATCTAGCCTAAATAGAATTCCAGCACCGGGTGCGATGAGTTAACATAAACAGGGATGGTGCAATCTGCTGGCAGCACTCTGGATGTATCAGAAAACTAAATGGTGACTACTTAATAAATCCCAACTGTCTTACAAGACTTTGTGGTTGAAAAATAAAAAAAGCTCTGCGTGGTCAAAGACCAGCTAATATTAAATTAATAAATGATCCTAAGAGCCTCTGATCAGAACATCAAGGAAAACTGGGACGGTGTCAAGTTGAGAGCCTCGGCAGCTTTAGCCTCTCCTTCAGCGAGCAGCAGCATTCCCAGCTCTATTCCAGTCTTATTCC